AAAATTTAAAGCCTCATTAAATTTTAATCATCCTTTACACGCTGGATTATGTTAACATGGTTTGTATCATTTACAAATTTTGTAAAGTGCCCGCTACATCATTCCCGCTCTCGTGCACGGACATCAATTTAAGGAAAGCTTCCAGGAACGTAGTAATGATCTAATTAAGTGGCAGTAACTGTGATATATTTAATGGCACAGTATGAAACGTGCAGCCCAAATTGAACTTCAGGGATTCTACATTCTGACATTGTCTCCACTTGCTGATAACCACGGCAAGGTCAGTGATGCAGAGGTCATTTGTCTCTCCCTACCTGATGAGAAATATTGACCAAGAAGCTGTGAGGACCTGGAGAGGAGCCCAAGTGTAACTTTATCACTCTGACATATCAGCGCTGCTGTACAGTGAGTGTGGATTAAAAGAGTTGATGCAGAGGAGAGAGCTATCACTCAGAATGAAGGATGGAGACCAGCTGAGGGGTTACAGCTGGGCCGTCTGCTCACAACCTCCTTTTCACGGGTAGATGGTCAATAGCAACAGACTGGAAACTCAGAGGTCGAGTCCTGCTGGACAAAAGTGATGGTTCACCCCATCTTGTCTCAAATGTGTCCCCTGGGAGCTCAGAGACCTTCGAACATAATGCAGCCCTTTGACCTTTCAACCCCAGCGAGGCCTTTTCCTGCTGTGATGGATGGCTTTTTGTGCAAGTCTCTTGATTTATGGAGAGCTGCAAATATTTACCTCTTTTCATCCCCACTTTTTTATTAAACTTTCATTTTCAGCTCTTCGCTCTCAGACGTTCATTTTTCTTATCAATTAGCCAAAAGAGCTGCATGAGACTGAAGTGATAGCTGTGACAGATCCTCTCCCTCTCTGATGTTGCTGCTTGGGGTAATTTGTCTCTTTTTTAATATCCATGTGTCAGAGAGCGTGTTAATGGCCTCCTGGAGGCTACAGGCAAAAATATATTTTGTATCTGAGTGCTGTTAGTGTTACAGGAAACTCTTGATGAGCTCACCTTCCCATCTGGAGTATGACAGACTATCTGCCCCTCTTTGGTATTAAGACCGGCAAGGTCTTTTTGACCCAGACCTTGAACCCACATGTAAATACTTCTAAATAGATCTGTTATAACTCAGCTCTATGTCTTATTATTGCTTAAACATGCTGAAGACAAGGGGAACAGGATCATTCCTGCATCTTTAAACCAAACCAAGTCTCCATTTTTCACACATTTAGGTTCCTAAATTACCAAGTAATACAAAAACTGCAATAGCTGCATTCTGAAAAAAAAAAAAAAAAAAAAAACGTGTTTAGATCTAATTTCTAGCAAAAAACAAAAACAAAACAAAACAAAAAGTAATACAAGGGTTAATTCAAGCTACATCAAGGTGACAAGTCAAGGAAAATGTCTTATTTCATTATGTAACAGAAACAAGACTTAAATTATCTGTAAAAGGTAAAGAAAATTCAGCTAATGGGATTGAGAAAATTGTACGTGTCAAGTTAAGAAATAGGAGTTTTTGAACAGTAAAGTGTGAATTCATTTGTGGATTTTTTGACCCATTATAAGCTGTTCAGTTCTCATTTTTTGATATGCAATATCTTGTAGAAGCCATTTTTCTTCACGTCAGGTTAATGTGGCTAGAATTGGTATAATGACTCACTTTTTGTTTTAAAAAAACCCAAAACACTTCCTGAGTGGTAAGCCCCTCACCAGAGACTTCTCATCATGCCTGGACAGTTTTGGACTCCGTCAATTCATCAACTTCCCAACACACACTAAAGGACACACTCTGGATCTACTCTGCTGCTCTGGCCTCATCCCATCCATCTGCACAGCCGATGATTCCTGAGAGTTTTGGGTAGTGCAGTGTTATTTTTGGAGGTTGGGCTGTTGCAAAACACCTGAATTGATGGTAACTATCTCTTAAAATAAATCAAGATATTGATATTGTGCTAAAAATAAGTAACTCTTACTCTGGGTCACAAATCTTTAAACAGAGGATAAATGAAGAGGATGTGGCAGGCTGCTAGTGAGCCATCTGTAGCAGCCCTCTGGGAGATAATTTGACACTTTTAAAACAGACTTTTCAAGAATTATTGTAAATTAATACCTTAAAGCATCTTCAGGTTACTTGTCATTTGAAAATGTGTACTTCCACAGCAGCAACCTCTGCTGGGAAACTGCAGTTCCCTGAGGGTACTTAAAGTGGAGATACTTAATCCTTTGGTTACACTGTCATGAGTATCAGAACTTTAAAAAGAATATATGAGAAATGTTGCTTTTGTGGAGGGGAAAATGGCTGGAAATGGCTGTACAGAGGCTAAATTCATCAATGCAGCTGTTATTAGCAATAGCATAGGGCTTCAGTTTATCATATGAGTTTATATGCCATGAGGTGTTGAGGTCTCTGCATGTGTAGGTTACTGACTTACTGTAATCATCGGGTCTTTCTCGTCCTTATGAAACCTACTCTATTTTGGCGAGTGTCTGTCTTCTTTTGTAGTCAAACCGCAAGATATCAAAATCTACCCAGATACAGCAATGCTGCTTTTTGATTGGCTGTTCAGTAGATATACTTTATTTGATTGGCTTGCGCGTGGCACGCAGCTTCTTATTCTTGGAGGAACTGACTTTATTCCTACCTGTTCCATAGTTAAAGAGGTGCAACTTGGTGGACATCACCATGTTGATTTAAATGCGTGAGAAATTCAATGTGTGGCGTGTGAGTGTGTGAACAGGTGGGAGTGCGTGTGTCACACACCGAATGCATGAGACTTAAGAGCCCTGCATTCTTCTGCCTGCGGCACACTGTTCAGCTGCTAGGGTCTGCAGAGTCCGATGGAAACAAAATAGAAATGAGTGCTTCAATTAATGCACCAACTAAAGAGTGGGCTACCTGGTAGTTTAGGTATGTAAACCTAGAGAGCTCCTGCTGTCAAGAATCAGGACCTTTCTAAATCTGAGGAAACCAGCAGCTCACAAACAGCTGCAGTCTGCATCCAGAGTGCCTCACTGATGACTAAACCTCCACAAGTTAGATCAGATAAGTCGTGTGGAAGGGCATTTTCAAAGTAAGTTTTCAGCTTTTTTACTGCAGAATGACAAAACCCATAGTCCACAGGATATGTCAACTGTGTTTAGCAGCTGGAGGAGAAGACTGATCTGATATAAAAGACCTTACACACATTACAGGCTCCGTACAATATATCAGATCCTCCAGCTAAGAAATATTGTTGATGAATACAATGTCAGTAACTACAAAGATCCACATTTTCAGGATCTAAGATAACTGTTAACTCAGCATTGAGGCAGCAACGGCACAAAAATCACAGATTAACATTCAAATGAGCTTTAAACCATCAAGGCGTGTAAATAGTTGTTTGGCTGTTTTTCTGATTATATAAGGATCTGTAACTGCTCCTTATTTCTTACCTCATACTTTGCCTTTCATTTCCCCTGAGTCAAAGGTTTCATCAGGTCAAAGAATGAACAGGAAGTCATGTTTCACAGTGTGACTCAAGGACTTGTTAACCACACCATGGTATAAAGGGAAGTATAACATCTTAGGTGAAGCATCAAACACCCCATCACCATGGCAACAGCACACTGTTTATTGTTTGGTGCTGTTGTGTTGCATGGTAATGCTGCACAAACATGGTTTTATTCTGGTGTTAGATTGTTCCGGTGTTTTTAAACCTGATAATGAAACTGTTCAAGCCAGGTTGAGAAAGCTGTGAGCTTGTGTTCAAAACTATGACAAAACTGTCGGGACACACAACTGATAGGATGTAAACTCACTGAGATTTGTAATAAATCATGCAAAACATGACTGAAACCCCCAGAGCAGCTGAATGATCTGAAGCCAGGCCCATTGTTCAAACCATGAAGAGTATCTCTAGTCATGCTCTCTGCAGCACTTTGATTCCCTCTGACTTTCCTGTAGCTTCTCTTTGTGTCTCTCTTGTCAACCAGCTGCCTGTCTGCATAAGCTGCTCTACAAAGAAGTTCAAAAACAGGTAGTGAAAGCTGCCAGGCCATGAAGAAAATGAAAATGGAACATGTGGAGGCTGAAAACGGCCTGAGCGAGGCTCTAACAGTCTTAGCTCCCCTTGTTCTGCATGCTGTTTCATCTGCAGCCTGAGTACCTACATGGCTCCAAATCTATGAGCTTCACATGCATTCACAGGTAACCCATAGGCTGAGTGGAAAATTACAGACAGCATATCAGGCCCAAGTGGGCTGTTGTGTTACATAATAAGCTGACAGGTAAGAGTGGCACAGCAGCTGACTGCAGAAAAGTGACCCAGAAATATCAGCTGCAGGTTTCTGGCACTTTCTATATCGCACACAGCGCTCTGCTCTCTCTACTCTCTGATTGGCTGGTTTCTCACATGCTGCAATACCAGGAATGACAAACATGTTTGTGGAAATGCAGACCTACACAGTCAATCTTTAAGTAGTGCATTATTTGGTGGCTTTTGCAGAGAGGAATCAGGAGTGGATCAGTGTACTGTGTTTTTAGCTCTGGATTGTATTTATAGATGCTTTGGATGGTAGAATCTTGACAAATGGAGGATCAGGCTCATCATGCATCACAGAAGGAGTGGCCATCTTCGGAAAAGAAGATGCCGGCTGCGCTGATACGTGAGCTCCAGCCCGACAGCTAGCCATGAGCAAACGAGCAGCTAGCACTGTCATTTCATTTTGCCACCAAATTTCAACCTTTAAACAAACACGGAGCTGGGGTGGATATCATTTGAGTTTCTGTGATTAAATAAACAACCCCTGTCACATCAGCCACGGCTGGAACGCCGCAAGAGAGACTTACCTGAGATTTCCACCAACAGTGGGCCCTCTCCCGGGGCCCTCGCCGGTAAGTCTCCTCCCGTGTTGTCTAATCTGCTACCTCACCACTGCGGGCTCCAGGATGGAGCCCTGGCGTGTAAGTGTCCTTCTCGGCACAGTCCAATCCCTGATCCATACTGTCCTCTGTCAGATCCTGCCTTGTGTCGTTGGCTGCCTGCTGGCTGTTGCTCTTTCTGTTTCAGCCATGGCTCCACGCTCCTCCAGACCCTGCCGCTCCCAACACCTCTCCTCCGGCTGCTGCGACCACCTCTCCTCCGCCTGCTCATCCATCCCTCCCGTGGCCCGTGTCCCTCCCATCTCGTCTCCGTTGTCCTCCTCTGCGAGTTCCCCCCCTCCTCCGACATATTTCTCTCCGGTCAAGCAGTCTCCACGTCCACTTTTCCCTCCGACGACTTTAATTGTGGGCGACTCCATCGTGAGAAACATTTGCTTTTTTAACGCTGTCACACGGTGTTTCCCCGGTGCGAGGGTCCTTGACATTTTAACACTCCTCCCCACTCTGTTAAAATCTCTCCCAACTCCCATCCAGAGAATCATAACCAGACCGAGCTCACGAAGGACCATTTTACCCAACTTTTTAACCTCCTGAAAAACTGTGAACTGTCTGTTTTTATCAGTAGTCCTATTCCCACTTCTGGTCCTGGGTTTGGGCGCTTCAGCAGAGTGCTCAGCTTGCACACCTGGCTCCAATCTGCCTGCCAAGCCCATAGCTTTGCCTTCGTGGACAATTTTAATCTTTTTTGGAACCGTTCGTCCCTTTTTAAACTGGATGGTATCCACCTGAACACCACAGGTGGCCGCATATTAGTGGCTAACCTGCAGCACACCGTACACTGTTCATCATGTGACTGACTATTTACTTCCCCCCCCCACACACACACCCCTCTCCCTCTGTGGTGCACCCACTGTTGACAGGTACTCCCCAGAGCTCCCCCTGCTGGCAAATTCTGTCACCGACTCCCTCTGCCACAGGTCTTCCCATCATCTTTTCCCCACTCCCAAATAATCACAGTAGCATCCAACTCCTCCCTATTCCTGTCCATATCACCAACAGACACCACTCTAATAGAAACACCACCCGGACTGTCAATCACTCTGACACCATCTCCCATCCCATCCTCCTCCGTAGACTCTCCTCCATCGGCATCTCCCACACTCCTCTCCGCTGGTTCCATTCTTACCTCTCAGACCGCACACAGTTCATACAGCTCAAATCCTTCAAGTCCGACCCCTCCCCAGTCAGTTCAGGTGTGCCCCAGGGCTCTGTCCTGGGGCCCCTGCTGTTTATCACCTACCTCCTCCCCCTTGGTTCCATCTTCCGTAAATTCAACATTCAACATTCAATACCACTGCTACGCTGACGACACCCAGCTCTACCTTTCCAGCTCACCAAACTCCACCCTCCCACCTACCTCCCTCATCACCTGCCTATCCGAAATTAAATCCTGGTTCACCGCCAACTTTCTCCAACTAAACAGTCAGAAAACAGAAATTCTTCTAGTAGGTTCCAAATTCACCCTATCCAAAGTTGACAGTCTCTCCCTTCCCATCAACAGTTACTCAGTTTCCCCCTCCCCTCAGGTCAAGAGTGTGGGTGTCATCCTTGACAGTACTCTTTCCTTCAAATCCCACATCAGCCTTACCACTCGGACTGCCTGCTTCCATCTCAGCCACATCAATCGGCTCTGTCCCTCCCTCTCCCCCAACACCGCCTCCATCCTCGTCCACAGTCTCGTCACCTCCCGTCTGGACCACTGCAATTCCCTCCTCTTCGGTCTCCCTCACACGTCTCTCCATAAACTTCAACTGGTCCACAACTCTGCTGCTCGGATCATCACCAAAACCCCTTCGTCCCACCACATCACCCCCATCCTGCAGCAGCTCCACTGGCTCCCGTTCCCACTTAGAATCCAATTCAAAATCCTCCTGTATACCTTTAAAGCCATCCACAACCTCGCCCCTCCTTACCTATCTGACCTCCTCCACATCACGCCGCCTCCGATCCTCTTCCTCTCTCCACCTCACTGTGCCCCCTGTTCACCTCAGCACCATGGGGGGCAGAGCTTTACCATCACACATCCGCAACATAGACTCCCTCCCCCTCTTCAAATCCAAACTCAAGACACACCTGCTTTTTATGCTGCTTTGTTGATTTTAACTGTTTTGATGATTAAATGTATTATTATTATTATTATTATTATTATTATTATTATTATTATTATTATTAGAAGCTTCTTGTCCTTGAAGGCAACTATGGGTTAAGGTTATGTTTGAGGAAATGTTTGAATCTAGAATCTGACCTCTATATCTCACTAAATGTTACCAGGTACCTTGAAGATCTAAAATTAAGACAAAAACACTTTTTTAGTTTTGAGTTTTTGCTGTGCACCTGTTGTGCAGTTGCAGTTTGGAAATTTGACTGACAAATTTTAACCTAAGTTCAGGAGGGACCAAAACCTCCAAGCATGAGGAATAAAGCTGATTTAACTTTGTAAACTAAGGCCAGTAGGAGCTTGGTTTGAGTCTCAGCTGTTTCTGTAAACTGGATCTGTTTGTCTATGAAAACCATGAAACTCAGAGACACAATATCATAACAGCAGATCATTAAATGCTAACAGGTCTAAAAGAGAGAGCGTTGATGGCTGGCCCGAATAGTTTTCACTAGTTTTAGGTTGTTTCTCTGATATAAAGCTGTTTAAAAAGTAACACCCCAAACAGTGTCTCGCTGTCTGTTGGTGGAAAACATAAATCTGAGTCATAAATACACTGCTGTGTCAAAAACAGGGGCACCCAGCTGCTATATCTACCTTTATGTTAGCAGAAAAGCAGCCAAAATGAAGCTTAAGTTGAGGTTTTTACAGACATCTGCTGTGTAGGATGAATGTCCCCACTCTGCAGAGACGAAAAGAAATCAGTGAGTAAACTCATCCACAGAGCTTTAAAGAAAAACAATATTTGACTAAGAAAGTCTTGTATAGACCTTTCTTAACAGTCATTGTGCTGTAGTATGACCAGTCTTTGGGGCAGCAGCTGCTCTTTGTGTGTGTGTGTGTGTGTGTGTGTGTGTGTGTGTGTGTGTGTGTGTGTGTGTGTGTGTGTGTGTGTGTGTGTGTGTGTGTGTGATCATTTATCCAAATCAAATTTTTGAGGATTCACTTTCCCTCATCTCCAACAAATTCAGAGTGACACCCATAAACCCCGATTGAGTCCAGATCAGCCACAGGCATGACAACTGAGGAGGATAAGTGTGTTTTTATTAGAGAAGAAGTCGTGCAAAATAGCTGAGGGCCAAGTGGAATTCATTTAGGTCTTACACAAAACACCAGTGAATCACTTGGAGATTCCCCCTGCCAGCCAGCTGTGATGTTTACAATTCTGTTTTTGGATCACACAGACACAAACATACACAAAGGTTTTCTCCCGGTTTGCTACAAATGGCGGTAAAAGAAAGAGACGAAGACAAGAGGGGAAAAAAACGGAATAATTAGACAGATCAGAGGAAGCGATCCTTTGCTAGAGGTCATGCGGCTGATAAATGATAGGCTCGCCTGCGATGCATGTTAAGTGAGTATCGGTGTAATTATCCTGGCTGCAGCGCCTCATGAATGTGTGTAATGTCACGGCCTTTCTTCTCTCATCCCCCTCAGGCGCTCGGCTGCCTTGTCAGACGCTCTGCAGACAGGGACTGAAGGTCACTTGACCAGAGGAAGAAAGGTCAGGGGAGGGACGGGGCCCCTGACGGCCTGATCAGCCCACCACCACTGAACGTGGAATTAAATTAACCCGTTTTGCCCCACTGGCAACAATTGTTGACAAAGTGTATCACTGTCATTTTCAACTCACAATAAAAATCTCAAAGGTACTAATGTAATTTTTTCCACTTCTACGCTAGTAGACAACTTAGACAAACATTTAGATTTTTTTCAAAATAATTTCCAAGTGCTTCCTATCACATGACATCATCTGCTACCTGCTCCTTCCGGCTGAAGACATGGCCGATGCAAATCTTCCTGGAAAGAGGTAATTTTCATAAATTACAATTTTCCCCCCAAACAAATAATAATTAATCATTCAAGTTTCTAGAGTAACACTCTTCCAAAAAATTGTACCTAGGATAAATGTTTTTTTGTTCATGGGCTTATTTCTGTGAGTGGCAACAAAAGTTGCCAGTGGGTACATAAGGTGTCGCTAACTAAAGGAAAACACTGTCTGCAGGATTCCTCCTAATTTACTTATTTAAAATTGTAGAATGATGTTCAATGGCTCATTTTAGTTCTCTTAGAATACTCTTTCTAGCTAAATAAATTCACAGGTATTCAAGGTCTGTGTGTCTAGTTTTTTATACATTAACATATGTCATTTTTTCGCTAGCTAACATTAGCTTGTGTTTCACTGAGGTAAAAAATGTTGATGTGCAGTTGGAGGTGCACTTTTCTTGACACACAAGTACTTACCATAACCAATGCCCACACCTACAACGCGACCCAACACACACACACACACACACACAAAAGCTCACCTGTGCACTTTAGCTTTTGGCAGAGTATGATACTTGTATTGGTTCTATATTCGTTTTTGTTTACATTTATATGTTACATGTCTTTTGTTGTTGCTGTTTGCTGTTGTATGACTTGCTTTTATTGCTACTGCTTCGTTATTGTAAAGCACTAAACTTGACATTGACATTGAGCAACAGTAGACTATCAGCCCAGACTGACCAAAAGTGGACCCCTATTTCTGGTAATTTTAATAAAACAAAAATTGAATAGAAATTTGTCTTTTCAGGTCTTTTACCGCAATGTTACTTGAAATGTGACTTTTATTTATTTATTTTTTTAAATTGCCTAGAGGGGACCTGTATCCTTATGTGAGATCAACCTGTCTAACAGGGGACATCCATATAAGGCAGTGCAGCTGTCTAGACACATTCACACTTCTGATGAGAGCTTGTTACCTCCACCAAGGAGGTTATGTTTTTGGTAGTGTTGGTTTGTTTGTTTGTTTGTCTGTTAGCAACTTTACGGAGAAAGTTACAGACGGATTGAAATTTTCACCACAGGTGCGTCTCAGCCCCAGGAGGATCCCATTACATTTTGGTGGTGATCCGGATCGCCTTCTGGATCCAGCAATTTTTTGAAGGATTTTTTTCATTTAACTCTATAAAAATGGCCAGAGTCTTTAGTAAAAAATTACACAGAAGGATCTCAATGAGTTTTATGAGGTGTCAAAGGTTGATCCTGATCCAGACAAAATTTCGAATACTGTGATCCAGAACACACAAAAATAAGGGTGTCGTTGGAATTTTCAATGCTGAAAGATAACCAATGAAGTGCAAGGAAGTGTACGCTTAAAAATATGGCATAAGAAATCATGCATTTATGTATCTAATATGAGCTTTGTTGTTTTAGGAACATTATGAACAGTGAACATACCAGTTTAAACACAAATAAAAGTTAATAAAGACACGTAACAGTAAAAGTTTTGGTGTGAATCACAATATAAGGGGGGACATGAGCTGCTTGGCGGAGGTCCGAGTGCTTTTCTAGTTTACAATGACTTTCTTTGTTCCGTTCAAGAATGGCTGATTTAACCTATATGTGATAATTATTTAAACATTTCTCTCTAAGAAAAATATTTAGAAAATATTTTGGCCCCATTCATCCTGTGGATTATATATTTTTTTTTTTTACAGCTGCTCTAATAATAATTATTTGGTGTCAGGAGAAAAGCATTTCCCAGTCTTTGGCAGATTTTTGACTTTGTATTATTATTATTATTATTATTATTATTATAATGATCATCATCATTAGTAGTAGTAGTAATAGTAGTATTTGTCTGTAATTATTAGGTGACATTTGACCTGGTGATAAGCTGTGTGAATAATGGCAAGACTTGTTGCCAGTCATAACAATGCTATTTTCTTCACAACGAAGTACAAAATGAAAAAAATAAATAAATACATAAAATGATTCAGGGGGACTCAACTGATAAAATGATATGCCTTACAACGCTGAAAAAATTTGGGCACAAACGGGTTAAGATCGAGGGCGACATTTTCTTTGCGGGCTTTTCTTCCTGGCTTCCAGTCTACAGGGTTCTGGTTTTCACCTCCTCTGAAAGACGCAGGAGCAGAAGTAGCCCCCCTCTTGGGCTTCATGATGATTTAACAGGCACATTTTCACATTTCTGCCTTTTTTTTCACAGAAACTTGCTGGAAAATCACTCGCCAAATATTCTCTTTTTACCTAATCTCAAAAGGTTGACAAGTTCATGAGAAACAAGGCGGGAAATATCTTCATTAAAACATCAAAAACCTTCTCCCAGATCCGGGTAGCTGCTTGTATGAGGCAGACCTCCTTCCTGTTAAATTGAGAAGAGCTCATGCCACGACAATCTGTGCTTGCTTTGCAGTTTCTTTGGAGGCGATGGAGTGGAGGGGGAGCAGAGCAATAAAAGGAGCCCTTTCCTGAAGGTTTGGCGGTATGTTTCTGTGGGCGACACGCAGGAGATCAAGGGAGCGAGAGAACTGACTGGGCAGGCCTAGAGCCGCCTCTCTCTCCAGGGAAGCCTCGCTTTAATCACAGTGCAGCCAAGCAAAGTGATGCTGAACTCCACATGCCTTTGGTTTCCCTCGCTGCTCCCTCTCTCCGTCTTCATCTCTGTCTCTCTCATTTTGCCTCTCCTCATCTTTGACTCCTTCTGCTCCCACACTTCACTCCTCACTTCTGTCTTCTCACTGCCTCTCCTCATCTTTGACTCCTTCTGCTCCCACACTTCACTCCTCACTTCTGTCTTCTCACTGCCCCTCATGGATTTTGTTGTTAATTCCAAGTTGCAGCCCACATGCATTTCTGGTTAATATCGCAGCAGCACAGAGGTGTTAATCATGTGACAGCTGCTCCATGTAAGCAGTGAAGGCTCCTTCCTGCAGCTTTAATTGAGACCTGGACATGTCCCTGATCATGGAGCCTCAAGAGGCCGGCTGCCATAAAAGCAGAGCCAGCAGCAGTCATTACAGCTCTGGGAAACATATGGTGTCAGGTATCTTTAGGCTTAACTGTCCTCTGACTCCTGGCAGGAATGAGGGCTGGGGACATGGGGAGCTGACCATTACGAGGATACTGAAGGTGTTGCTCAGCAGAGGCCTCAGACAGGTGTGTCATTTACAGCTGTTTGTTGTCTCCTCCATGTTTGATTGAAGCTGCAGAATTCTGCTGCAGCCTGAGATCTGCAGTGTGACGGCATGTTGTTGTGTTGCAGGTCTCATTCTGGATGCTCTGCATGCATGTTAGCAAAGAGTTGACATATTGAGCAGACATTCAGAAACATTCACAGAAAACTCTGCCACAGGTTCATGTTGTTTTGCTGCCTTGTTTCTACCCCTAGATAGATTTGTTTTGCAGTGAGGTGATAACATCCAGATGACATCCAACTACAAAACAAGTTCAAACAAGTTGAACAAATAATGTTTTAATTAAAGGTCAGGTGTATAGAAATGGAAATGTTTGTCATCTATAGCAGTCAGATTCTAGGTTGAAATGCCCCCTTGTTCACCCCTCCTGATGGTGAAGCTATAGTGGCCTTTTTGTGTGCACAACAGCCACTCTCCTCTTCTTCCAGCTTGTACATTTTGCACAGCCTCCTACGAAATACAAACATGCATTTGTTACTACTTTGTCCATCATGCTCCGCTGTAGGAACACCAGTGCAAAAAATTGACCTGAACAGAAATAAAACTTGCTATTTACTCTGCTCAAATACATGTTGCTGAATACCTTATGCTGTACCTTTGAGATACTAAACAAGATACAAGCAGATTTAATTTATTAATTAAAAGCAGTTCAGGTTTCAATTTTGCCCTACAATATCTAAAATAAGATCTTTACCCAAACTTTTCCAGTTAATGTGGTTTATATTTCGTCCCATGAGATGTTTTATACAAAAAAAATAGACAGGAAACTTGCTCAGTTCAAAGATTTTATAGTGTTAGCTGTTGCAGAGCATCCTAAACAAAGACCTGTGGAAACTGGTGACCTGGCTTTAAATCAGAGTGGTTGCATTTTCAGTGTGAGACACAGATTTCAATGACCCATCACTGGTTGGTGAATGTGACATTTATTCAGTTTCAGCTAGCCAGCGGAGGAAGGGGCTACTTCGTTTCTTTTAGTTACAAATACGTTTTTTCAGTGAGTTTTTAAGATCAGTAATTTCACTGGTGTCTGTCTTATCTTTGGGCATTATCATTTTTCATTCAATTTTCCACAGAGTCTGTGACTGAGTTTTCAACCATGTTAAAAGTAAAAAAGACAAAAGCTTTTAATCTGCCAGCTGACTAAAAAAATAATAATAATAATAAAAAATTCTGAGAAAAAAAAGAAAACAGAAAGAAAACATGTCCTCCCCCAAATCACAACAAGAAAGTAAGGAACAGATTTAAAGATTCAGCCCTCCAGAGTTTGAAATACTTTCCTTATATTGCTGGTGGTTGGAAGTGGACATCAGGATCCAACCTCATTACCCTGTTAGCTGGAAAATTGTAATAATGGTCTTAATGCACATCAGGCTAGACTCAAACCTTGTATTGATGTGAAGCATTTGGCAGCTCTCTCTCAGCCTTGAACAGAGTGAAGATAGAGGTTTCTTGGAGAACGTTGAACATCCTAAATCTCCACTTGAAAACGGTCTCTCTGTAACACGGTGCAGGAAAAAGTGTTGTGTATTGGGTCATTGCCAGAACTTTCCACTTGCAAATGCTGGGCGCAAAAACTGACCAGAGCTCCCTTAAATAGAAATAAATAAAATCACATTTTCAAATACACCAACATAGTGAGAACTGAGGGAAACTCAGATATTAGATGTTCATTGTCTGTGTGTTTGCTATACCACATCTATTTAAATTTGACTTGCATATGTGTAGACTGTTTGGTAAAACTACAGAAAAAAAAGATGACTAGACTACATGTTCATGCCTCTTTCTTTAGACATGTTTTACCATCCCAGACTTGTGGATTGGCGTGTGTTTGAGTCAACTGTTTACTTGTTTATTTCAGTGAAAGGTTCATTTGGGTCTTAATCTGTTGTCTTGAGTTTAGAGAGTTAAACCTGCAGATCCCGAGCCATCTCTGACACTCAGGTTTTCTTGCTGCAGCCACATTCCTGTCAGGTTTGGCCCTGCGGCTTCTGCCATCACCTCCAGATACCCAGGATGCTTCTTTAGGCAAAACTGAGAGACAGAGAGAGAGTGAAACGCAGAGTCTGATACAGCAGCATGAAATTGGGTTAGAGAGCACATGAAGATACCTTCATAATGTTCTTTTATTGCTCACAGCGAGGACCTGTGAACCATTAGCATTTCAGCAGCGCTGAGATTTCCTGTGCTGTAATACCATGCAAAGTAGTAAAACTGTCAGTGAGTCCTTATCAACTCAGTGATGTCTCTGTTGCTTGGCAGGCGTCAAAAACAAATGACGGTTGGAGCGCCTTCTCTGTTTTGAAACTCATTTCCTCTCGTGTGTGCACACGAGGGGAGGAGGGAGGAGAAATGTTATTGAAGTTACCATGGTGATTCAATTTCAGCAACCCCCCCTGCCTCCCTCCGCCTCTCTCACCCTCATTTCCTCAGTAGAACAAAAAAGCAAATATTTCTGAGAGGAATTCCCTCGGTTGCAGGAGCTGCGTTGGGCTGCAGCAGCAGATCTGAGCGAGGTTTGGGTGAATGTGTTTCCCACCGGGGATCCCTGCTCAGATATGCATCCTCCCGGATCTGCTGAGCGCAGGAGTTACACAAAACAATGTTAATTTCTGGAATTTTAAGTGCTTCGTGAAAGATTTTTGGGTGGGGTATCATTAGAATGGAAATGTGTGGAAAGAGGGCATTATTTTACATTTTCACAGAACTTTTTAGGACTAACTTTCGAATGTTAATGTTGCATCTTATGCACATTCTGTCCATGCAAATCACAGCCCTGCAAAGCCTAATGTCATATGCCGAAAACTACATCTAACCACCGTCTCTGGATGACATGGTAGGCTGTGTTTATTTCAAGTACAAACAGGAAGGCTATTTTTTCCTGCATCTCCTTTCCTCTTAAAAAAAAGGTCCTCAGAGGTTTCATTTCACCCCTAAAAATAGAAGAGTGAGTAACAGAGGGAGAATGTTTCTAATTCCCAAAACAAACCCAGTGACGGGCAGCGGGGTGGATATCTCTTGACATTTAACAACATGATAACAGCAATTTGTTTCTCCCTCACCACCTCAAATCAGTCTGAGTGAATTAGAGGCTGAGGGACAAGCAGCTCTGGATGTAAGAGATGTCTCTGAAGGCTATTTAGAATCCATTTCTTCTCTTTTTGGAGGACGGAACACAAACACAAGGACAGAACACAAACACACACACTCACGCTCTCTCTCTCACACACATACACACAAACACAAACACACACACACACACACTCACACACACACACACACACACACTCAGGCTTTCCTTCTTCTCCACAGCCGCCATCTGCCATGTTGGAAACCTGCCCTGAGCCTGAGAGCTGTGGGCCGACTTGGGAGCTGTATATATCACCCTCCATATTTCGCCTCTTTAGAAGGAGGATTTGTATCATCACTGGCTTGTAAATCACAAACCATTAATAATTGAGCAAAGAAATGAACATCTTGTTGGTACACTGGTATCGCCATAAAAGCGCACAGTCATACAAACCCCATTTTGTGGTTTTCCTGAGCCGAGGCCTGTGTGCCGCTGTAATTAGAGCTGCCACATGTTCTGGGGGGTTTTACCGCCGACCAGTTGGCGCGAATTGAGTTGGGGAAGCCCACGGCCATGCCAGGGAGAGGTTTGATGGGAACCCACGTGACGCCGTGTCCGTCACTAGGCTGAAAGGGAATCCCTTCCTGTTTCCCCTGTTTTTGTCAGCCACTCACACTGCTGCCATGGTGACCTGGTGTTTACTGTCATGACTGTTTGGCAGGAACACAGCAACAGGCACATGACGTGCTGTACGGTAATGTCTATTTTTAAGCTCTGACTGTAACTCTGTGAATGCAGCCTCAGTGGAAAGCACTGCGCTGTGGGTAAGGCCTCAAAAACAGAAATCTGAGGACGTGTCTCAGTAATATGGGAACCAGATCTCCATGGCAACCGTATCATAACAAAGAGGACTGTTAAACCTGAGCAAATCTCTTCAGTTTTCTTGTGTTTAGCTAGAAATAAAAAAAAAATCCTAAAATGAACCTTTTTTTCTGCTATCATCACTCACTTAAGATACATGATTCTGTTCATTTTACAGCTTGAAATATTAATAACTATCAACATATACAGAGTTGGGAGATTGTATGACAGTGAAAGTAATTTGAATTTTGCTTCACCAAAAATGGTCAACTCTATGAAAAACAAGCATCATAAAATGAGCCTTGTTAGCTGTTTCAGTACACCTGAAACTAAATATTACTATGGATTACAAAGGGAGAGGGGAGGAAATACATTCCTCCTCTTAAAATGTTTATGTTTTCACCCTCACATTAATTAGGCCCCATCTTTCTGCTAAGCCAAACAGTAGGATCAAAATTTAGACTAAAACAGGACAAAAAAAAAATTGATAAAGTTGAAGTTAAAGAGTTCTTGTAAGTAGACCAGTGGGTTTTTCTTCATTAGCTACCTTTATATGTTCCAACTCTAAACTTCCCTGAGGTTCCTCTTCTGAGCAGGAAGGCTGTAGTCGAAATATGTGAGGGTAAAAAAATTAAAGTTACAGGAATCTCTAACTTTGAAAAGTGACCAGGTTTATCTTTTTTTGGACCAAGATGAAGCTTGAAACACAGATCATCTGTTCAGCCACTGCAGCAGGATAGGGAGAGGACACAGAGACATGTCCAGGTCGAGCTGCGCAAGAAATAAAAGGAAGAGGAAGAAAGAAAAGGAGGGAGACAAATTACATATCTCGTTAACTTCATCATGTGTGTCTATTTACTAGATATTTAATATAATTTAATGCGGTTTCAGCTGTGTTGATTTGGTCAGGTTGTGTGTCCAAACGCATGCCAAACGAGCTCATCAGATAAGATATAGATCAGAATATATCTATATAGATCTAAATGTATGTGCTGACTCAGATTATTAGTTGTTGATGATTATTTATTGCACTAAAATGTGCCTGAAACTGTGGAAACCTGCCGGTGAGGCATCGGTGACGTATGCCAATACACCGCCGGTCTACAAAATACCACTAGACCAGCCGCATCCGCCTGCGCTGAAAGCTGACGAGGTTTGAATTAGCAAGCTTTCAGCGCAATTTATACGTCACTGAAAATGTCACTGCGCCAGCTGATTCTGTTGACACCTCCCTCTGCCACACCACCATGCCCAGCTTGGCGGACCTCAGTGCGCCCCAGTTCACAAAAATACCAAACTGGCTGTACGCCAGGCTCCGCCAGACAAAAATATCACTGCGCGGGGTCCGCCACCCTCCATCGCCTCACCAGCGGACACGAAAATAGAGCTCATAGAGTCAAGTCAATGCTGTGGAAGTTCACAGTAAACGTAGAAATACATGCACATAATTCTTTGCAGAACTCGGCTATAGGTTTCAACTTTAACCCAAGTACAGGAGGAAAATCTTCCTTATAAATGATGATGTGGGTGAGATAGTTGTCTCTGAAATCAAAGGATAAGGGTAAAGAAACACCAAACAAACAAACAAAGAAACCCAAAAAAGGAAAACTATCAGTGACTTTGGAGACTTCTTGGACCCTCCCTAAATGTGGTTCCAGAGTGAACCACATCGTCTTCAGGGAGGAACCACAATCATGTTCTCATTCCTGAGATTCAAAAAGAGTGGCTCAGGTCATGGCTCACCAACAGAAGAGTGTGTTCATGCACAAGACTGAGTCACCACCTGGGCCCTTTTCTACGAAGCAGGAGTACTGCTTAGCGAGGTAACTTCGGGCGTAAGTTTGGGGTTTCGTGTTCTACGACGCGGGTTCCCTTCTTAGTGAGGCGAGTCTCCATGGCAACGTACGTTGAACGGCTAACCTGCTCCGGGGCAGGTTCGGTTCCAGATTAAACTCACCGAGTATAAAAACCCCGCCCACTGACCAATGATTTCTCTCGAAAAACGGCTTGTCCGTTCTTGGAGGATCCTATAGACCTCGGTGCTCACATTGTCCGAGGAGCACTCCGGCACTCGAGAGTTTTCAGGGACTGCACAGACCCACTTACTTTTCCGGATGACCACCTTTATGCAAAGGTTCGTATGGCCTACATATCACACAAAAAATGTAAACACGATAGGAATGAACAAATGAATGAATTCATCTTGGAAATGAATTAGGCATGTCTGTGGCATGTTAAAAGCGCATGTTGAACAGTGCAATTTCAGGGTGATAATGGCATCAAAGATTCATTTTCTGCCAGCATTCCTTCTGTGCTTTTGCAGCGGTGACGGTGTTGCTTTTGAGGTTTTATGATAGATTTGAATTCTTCATACTTTCTCATGATCGTCTCCTGCTCCTCGATTGTAAAGTACGTGGTCCTTTGCTCTCTGGCCTGCTCTGACGCTCCAGACTGGTCCATGTTCTCGATTGGTCAGATGCGGCGGGCTCCGCCTTACATGCGTGCACACACTCATGGCAAAGCTGGATCCACTTATGAGGTTGATAACCAGCGTCGTAAGACCGTTTAGCGAGACCTCTGGCTACCGTGCAAAGTTGAGCGAGGTTGCTCCAAGGTTACCTCGCTAGGTCGAACTTGCTTCGTAGAATAGGCCCCTGAACACCCACACTTTCACTACACCAAGAACACATAATAATGAGAGGAGCCAGGCTTGGAGTCAATGAAGGTTTCAGTGACAACATGAAGAAGGAGAAGCTCAACATGGAGGTGGAGCACCACTGATTCTCGGTTTCATGATTCTAGCTTTTTGGCATTACAGCAAGCGTTGATGTATGACAGCTGATGGAGTCAAACTGCAACTTAGTGGAAACAGGCCAGACACGGACCCCCGACCACAGTGAAGCATTAGTAATTCACTATAAACTTTACAGTGCTGACACAGACCAATCAGAGAGCAGTTGACTAAGATAGTTAAAACAGTATTTATCTTTGTCTTCATCTGTCTCCTCATTATAATACATTTTGATTTTTGAAAGTCAACCAGAATCCTGTTTTTTGAGCCCGTATATTCCTCTTTCCCTTTAACAGCAGCTGATATTATTCATGCCTTTTAATTTTTATTTCAGGACTAAATCCAAAATAATGAGAGCAGTTCCTGGCACTGGTGAACAGGACCACCAGATAGCAGAGCTCAGTAGAGCTCCATTAGGACTCATCTCTATCATTAACTCAACCTATAAACTATTAATGCTTACTAGCCATTTTTCATGATAAGGCTCCCTACATTTGGAATATTCTCATTAGGGCCTAAATTAGGGAGCTCTCGTAGATCAGAACGGGTATTACCTAGTTTTTTAAAATTCCAAAATAAAGATTTAATGGAGTATCTCTCCTTTGCTCTCCATCTTTCTCCCTCATTCAGCTGCTCCTCTCCCTCTGTGCCGGTTTCTATGTTTGAATTTGTGAATCTGACTCCCCGGAAAGGTGTGTTTTGATCCAAACAGGCATCCCAAGATAGATGTGTGTATGTTTGCATACATGCATGTGTTTTTTCCAGGGATAACCTTCTGTTTTGATGTATACACTCCACCCGCACCTCCCTCTGTGCTGTCAGATCCACTTCTACATCGTGTCCATTGTCACATCGGCACCATTGGAACAATAAATTCACAGCCAACAAACAACACAACCCCTCTGATTTTTCCCCACCTGTGACTGACACACTACATAAAGAATAAAACGCAGACTTTCCTGTGTCCCAGGTTGAAAAAGAATCCCTGAATTTTAAACAGCTTCACAGGAGTGAAAATGAAAGCTGTGTAAAAATTAATATTACATTTCCATGACTTCCTTTGCTGTTTAAAAAATAATGAGACTGAATAAAAAAGCACTCAAGTTAATAGCCTTGAAACATTGTGCTCCTGACATTTTGTCTGCACTTCCAGGAAGCAGACAGTGTTCAAATTGTGTGCAGTATAACCCGCCTTTTACATATTGCTTGTGTCCGTTTGATAACTTAATTGTTTCCTGCATTAGAAGGAAGCTTCTCAACATTTCAGGCAAACAGTTCAAGGATGACAGAGAAGGTATGACAGATGACAAGTCTGGACCCAAGCTGAGCCAAACCCGGAAAAGTCTGGAAGAATTTAAGGAGTGGATACTTTGAGACATGCAAACAGTCACATACATCTGGGTGTGTTCCCACTCTCTCACACACGCGCGCCACTCCTCTAGGGTTCTGGGTGTGATCCTGTGTGGGAGTGTGATTAGGGATATCCCCCTATGGTTTTCATAGAGAGGTCTGACTCATTGCCAAGAACATTTTTCTCCTTTTTCCTGCAGAGAACAGTCCGTTCTGTCTGAGGCTCTGAGGAAGGCTCAGCTCTGTGGGAGGGACGCCTCCCATGAGTCCACTGCACATATTTACAGTGACCCTTCACCTGGAACTTCAGGTCAGGTTAACCTGTGAGGGAGAAACACAGACGCTGTTTAGAAACAGTCCAGAAAATTAGTCAAGAAAAAGTCAAATAAAAACAGAGTCATGTAAGCAGAGTTTGATTTTCACTGTTTCTGATGCATGACTTACCTGTTCATACACCACAGCGGGACCAACACAAGAAGATGAAGATTGTGTTGATGTTCATTTATTAACATAGTCCTCATATAAATGCATGCATATATCTATGACAGGAACCATAATTGATTCAATTGATCCAGACATGCCAACAAACTTCAAGTCTGACTTAAACTTGTAACAGGTATTAAAAGTTTTCTGGAATATGTGCGCTTGGCTGTCAAAAAATAATCACAACAGTCAGCTGATGCAGTAACAGACTTCACGGTGAAACAAAGGAGGGCTATTGCAATTAAATGTTTCCACTGATTTTAATGATCCCAACTGAAGAATGGATAACCCATCAATAATCCTTAGAAAGATTTAAACTGGTGTAAAGATGAAGGATAAATTTAACTCAGAGGTATGTCCATGTGTCATGACAGAGTAAGTGAAATTTTCCTTAACACAAAACTTCTGTGTCATGGTATTGGTCAACCACAGATAACAGATTTCTCTCTGGTGTAAATACTCAATTTTTCCCGTCACCCAGTATAAACTTTCCAACTTTCAGACCAAAGCACTCAGCTGATTGAAACTTTCTGAAAGAAAAACAAAAGGTGAAGAGAGTGTACACACCACAGCCTAATGGCTGCTGTCGTCTGCTCATCTGCAGACTCAAACAATGCTCTCTACTCTCGTTCTTCTGTGCATGTTGGTAGGGCACAGGGCTGTGACAGTCAGTCAGTAGCACACCACCAAATTGGACAATAAAAGTGCCTCTCAAATGTCAGTGAGACACTGGAAACACTGAACCACAGGCCTGCAGCTGAGACACTCTTTCCAAAAGTGCATCAAAGTGGTTTTACCCTTTTCTGCAAAAAAGGGAAATATGCACACAAGTGAAGAAAATTAAGATTTCACATGAGTGTTGACATCATTAGGCTGCAGATGTTTTCTGTCTCAAAAATCTTCAAGTCCTGCTGAGCAGCCAGGTAAGCATGCAAAGTATCAAGTATGGAGATTACATGAGGACACTGAATGATGTTCATGAACCTCTGTTTACAAATGTATAGGCTTAGAGCTCTCAGCACTGTTTGAAAAGATTATTCACAGTTTTCATAAATAATGGAGAATAGCCTGAAGGAAGAGGAAGTTATCCTTAGAGTGCAGCTGGGACTGCTGGGGTGTCCTCTTTCAAAGCATGGACTCAAACATGCATTACAATTTACTCAGTGTTTAAAGGTTAAAAGCAAACCCATCTGCTTTTCAACCTCAGTCCAGTTTTAACACATCTCAGGGTTCAGAAGACAAGAGTTTTAGCAATTTAAGAAAAAATGCTAAACAAACTGTGATGGCTGAGGTCGAATCATGACCCTAAAAAGTTTGTTGCTGCATTAAGGCTCAGATGAAAACACTTAAAAGGATTTATTGAAAAAACACTTTAATGTAAATATCAGGTGCTTTTAAACCACAAACAGCCATTACGATTGACTCACACTTGCTGTTAAACCTTATTAACGTAGGGGTGTGCATACTTGGCTCTGCACTGCCTGTCTTACTGCAGGAAGCTCAGGCTGTATGTAACTCCAAAAACTGACCTATTGCTTAGCCCCGCCCCTCGAATGCAGAAAAGCCAATGACAGTTTAGTATTAGTTGCACCAGGAATGGAACTTGGACATCTGTAGCTTTCAGCTCAATTGAGAAGCATTAGAAGTTGTGATTTTTCATCTGTTTTTTGGTGTTAATTTTAATATAACAGAAAGAAACATGGTAAAAAGGTGTTCATGGGGTAGATGTTATACCGACACAAGGTATCCTAACAGGATGGGCAATGGGGTGTATCTCATTACATTTCTGAAACCAAAGAAAGACTAATGTAAATGTCTGCTGTGGAGTAAGTTGTGTGGCAGACCACACAGCCAACTTAACGTCCAAAAGATCAAGATAGATCTCTACGTTTGTTCTACGGTAAGTTACACTGACATAGCTTTAAATCTACTAACTTAACCAACAGTTATTTAATCATCATTAGTCATGTAGTAACAGAGCTTTCGCCTCTGGTAAACTAGCGAACACTAATGTTAGCCCAGGTTAGCACACTAGCTGAGTGACAGTGCCTCTCCAGATTAGTTCAAATAATTAAAGTTAAATTTATTTAATCTTACTCTGTGGTACATGAACAGTGTTGGTGACAAAAAAAATGACATGGTACTACAATAGACTATTAAACAATATAGCTTCCATTCAGCTTGAAGACAAAATATTTAGAGCTCCCCCTGCTGAGTGGCTGCAGAATTGTTAACATACTCCACCTTTAAAATGCTAAAATTTCTGACTGTAGTTACATTTTACAAGACTTAATTTGGAGAACATATCAACTTTACATTGAAAGACAAAAAACATTGAAGCTGCTGATCTCTGTCAAAATACTGTGCACGCCAAAAAACACTGGAATTTCCCTTTATATAGATGGATGCAGTCTGATTCAAAACTTTTCAACCCGCTGCAATCAGAGCTAAAAGGAGTTAGCATAGCTCTCAACCTCGTTAAACGTTAAACTGTGGCTTCTGCTGAAAGAATAAATTGGCATTATATTCTCTTAAAGCAGCATCTGAATGGGATTACTTGATCCCATTTCAGTTTACAGCCTGCAAACAGTCTGTGTGCATTTGGACTTGGAGGATTACGACATCACTGTAGTAACACAAACAAACTGAGGGCTCAGGCTGTGTAATTGGGAACATCTGGATGTCATTTTGGTCTGTTCAGCCCCGCAATCATGAGCACTAAAATGTCCTATTTGGCCATTTATGCTACGGCACAGAGCGACTGGGGAAAAACAAACTCCTGAAGTAAACATCTTTCACTCTTAGCTGGAGAAAATGACCCGAACAACCAAGTCAGACACAAACAAACACGTCAGATGACACTTTTGTTTCCTGTCATCACCCACAAATGGCTGTTCTGAAAATACAGAGCAATCCACCTAAACATGTCCTAAACAAACCAAAACTATTCAGCGTGTCCGTATAGAGGCTGCAGGAAACCAAAACACTGAACAACAAGAATAAAAGTCTGGAGAACAAATGTGAAGATTTGACTGTTTGGTAGTGATTCACCATAATAGAAGTTGATATAGAAACACAGATAATGGAAGAGCCATGTTGATTAACCAGTCATTCAACCAACAAAAGATGGAGGTCTGGGGTTCAAAAATGAAAAAGAATTGAACTACAGAATCAAAGACAGTGGATCTGCTGCAGGTCTTGAATTGGGGCCACCCTCTTCCAGATTAAATCATATCCGACAGGTGAAAAGCCACAGAAAAGCAGCAGGGTTTAGAAAATGAAAATAAATGAGCTTTTAGAGCCTTAATGAAGGCTTTAACCCAAATGAAGCACAGGTGGCTGCTAATAGCTGCTGCTGCTGCGTCCACCTCTACAATCCAGTCGAAGCAACCCCACCGCCACCCCCACCCCCCTAGCCCTTCCTCTCTCCCGGCCATGGCCTTGCCTTTGGTATTTACTCACGCTTTTCCTGAGGTCGAAGTGTTACTGAGCTTAGCTGATGGGAACGTGCCGTTTTCCAATGTTATCATTGGCTGGGGGAAAACATGGGAAAAGAAAAAGGCCATCCTCTGTGGTCCCTTCCTGAGCAGAGAGCCCTCCTCTGCAGATTTATCACATGTAACCCCTTCTGCTCCGGACATGCCATGAAATAATGATGTCAGAAAGATGGGGCCTGACCTTTGCAGCCCTGTTTTCATGGGAAGAACTTAAAACCAAAGTGACAAAGTATCCTCCTGGGTAAGAGCGTACAGAGAAATTTTAGCACTCATATCCATTACTCTCAGAGTTCAGCAACTGTTGTTACAACTGCTGCACACAACTCCAGGAGAAAACCCACTCTGTGAGTATTTATGTGGCTGCAGCTCCAAACAATAGCTTTAAAATCCTCTTTTTTGATAGATTAAGAAAAGTACCAAAGGCCGTGTAAGAAAACCAGGGCTTATTTTGTGATTAAACAGCTACATGATCAAAATTATCCTGATCAAAGAGACTCCCTTAGTTAAAACTGAATAAAAAATTACTCAGTGGAATTAATTTATTTTCTATTTTCTCATGTTTGACTTTGCATCTGGCATTAAGCAGCTACAGATTCCACAAATTGCCTTTCCCTTCCTTTTTCTTCATCTTATTTCATACATTTATAATCAGATATTAGGGGTTGATGTTTCAGAGATTACTCAAGCTGTGCAGAAAGATCCCTGCTTCATTTACAGGCTGTGTGTTGACTGTCACGTCTCATATATAGGAGTTAACCATTTCCAGTTTCAGTGGCTGTCAGAGAGTAGAAACACTCAGGCCGGCGTGTTATGTAACTGCTGTTACTCTTCATAGACAGGAAGTTTAACCATTCACCATCCTATGTGCTCATGTAAGGAGCTCATATGTATATCCTGGTATAGAAATATATCAAACACAAGGAGCCCAGACTGTTCTGTACGCTTTCTCTTTATAATGTCCTGCTGCACTGCAAATTGGTGAGACAATAGTTGCTTGAAGATTTATGCGATAAATTTCCTTTGTAATTGCTCCTAATTAATCATCTTAAAGCCTGCACCTCTGGTTTCTTCCACACGGAGAGAAGGATCCACCAAATCAATTATTTAAAACCTTTTTTCATCATGAGGGGAAGCAAAAATAAACCGGCCAATGCAGAGTAAACACCAAAAAGGGTTTTAGGATCAAAACGAGGCAATCACAAGAATCTACATGTTCTGCTTTTGGCTAGTATATCCTATAAGTAAGATAAATACAAATAACCCATGTGATGTTCACAGTTTTGGTTCTTGTTACTTTTTTGTAAAATCTGGATTAAACATTTCATCAGTGAATGAGATGTAGTCTGTTCTCCCAGACTGCCTCCCTGTGTGATGACTTCCATTGTGTTCAGTCAAGTCTAAGACTGGTTCTTGTGCAGCTCTTTGCAGTACCAGATGCTGTAGCCTAATGGAGTTCGCAGTCCTCTAGCTGCCACCGACTGTGACCAGTTCACCCAGAGTTGTGCCACCTACCTCTGCCAGTCTCTTAAGAGACTTTTAGGTCAAGCAGCACTGTTCTGGATTTATTTGCTTAATGGTAAACCATGTTTCCTCTAAACGCATGATTGTTTTCTAATGGAAGAGAGAAACATCAAAAAGGGTTGTTGTAAGAGTGGTTTGACTTAGCCATGTAGATTTTGCATTTGTTTTCATTTGTGTTTCTGTGGCTGATTCCTGTTTTATTCTCATATTTTACACCCTGATGTGTGTCACTCTAGGTTTCAGTTTTCCTCCTGGTGTTTTCTGCTCAGTTATTCTGAATCATCGCCTGTGTGTGTCTGATTTGGATTTGTGTGTTACCCTGTGTCTTGTATTGCACCTGTGTCTGCCTGCCCCTGTCAGTATTTAGGCTGAATCTGAATCCTCCCTGAACCCTAAGAAGTGAGTACTTCTGTAAAGTTCTGTAAATTCCCTTTTTTGGCCATCTAAGTGAGCAGGGACG